ACTGCCTGGGAGGGTGGGGGGGGTGACAGAACTAGTAGGGGTAGGGGCCTGAGGGCCTGGGAGGGAGGGAGCGAGGGCAGCCTCAGGGGCCCAGACTCACACCAAGTCCGCCCCCAGATTGTGCAATACATCGGTGAACTGTGCCGCTACCTGCTGAACCAGCCGCCCCGGGAGGTGGAAAACCGGCACAGGGTGCGCATGGCACTGGGCAATGGGCTCCGGCAGTCCATCTGGACCGAGTTTTCCGGTCGTTTCAACATCCCCCAGGTGGCTGAGTTCTATGGGGCCACTGAGTGTAACTGCAGCTTGGGCAACTTCGACGGCCAGGTATGCCCCTGGTTGGGGGACGTGGATTGACCATGGAGGGTGCTGGCCGCAGAGGGGAGGGCAGAGTTCCAGCGAGGGAGTGTGGGTGCTGAAGTGCCCCCCCCCCATGCGCACACACATTGTCCAGTCTTGGGGGCATGGGGAGAGCCCAGGCCCAAGTTTTGGCCTTTACAGGTGGGAGCCTGTGGCTTCAACAGCCGCATCCTGTCCTTCGCGTACCCAATCCGGCTGGTACGTGTCAACGAGGACACCATGGAGCTGATCCGGGGCCCCAATGGGGTCTGCCTTCCCTGCCAGCCAGGTCTGCCCTGGGGTTGGAACTGGGGGTCAGAGGGGAGGGGTTGGCCAGGAGGGAGACAAGACAGGTGGGTGGGGGGGAGGTAACTCTGTTCTGACCAGTGGCAGTCAGTCAGTTCTTCTCTTACAGCCACAAGTCATTTATTCCATCCATCCATCTTTCACTGTCCCATCTGTCCATCCATCCATCCATCCATCCATCCATCCATCCATCCATCCATCCATCCTTTCACTGTTCCATCTATCCATCCATCCATCCATCCATCCATCCATCCATCCATCCATCCATCCATCCATCCATTCATCCATCCTTCCATCCTTCCTTTCACTGTTTTATCTGTCCATCCACCCATCCATCCATCCATCCATCCATTCTTCTTTTCACTGTCCCATCCATCCATCCATCCATCCATCCATCCATCCATCCATCCATCCATCCACCCTTTCACCCATCCTTTCACCGTCCCACTTGTCCATCCATCAGTCCATTCCTTCTCCTCTGGGTTGAGGACCCTGGGTCCAGGCTGCCTGGGACGATCCTGGCTCAGCCCTTGAGCTCTGGGCCTGAGTTCCCACATCTCGGTGGGGCTGATGGCAGCACCGCCTTGTGGGGTGGCTCTGAGTACCGTGTGGTGCAGAGCGTGAGGCTTTGAGCTGATCCAGGAACCCAGAGAGGACTAGTGGTGGCCAGACTGCCCTTGTAGGGCTTGACCACCCTCTGGTCTTTTTGTTTACCTTCCCATCTGCTCACTGACCAGACGTCACTTGGTTTCCTTCATGTGTCAGACGTGCCAAGAGAAGCTCCCTCCCTGGGGGGTTCCTGGGCCAGGGGTCGTGGGGGGAATGGGCATTTCTATGGGAAGCAACGTGACTAGAAATCAGATCAACAACATGCAGAGTGCATTTGGGGGCAGGAGGACCCGTGGGAGAGACCACCCAGGGCAAACCTGGCCCCACCTTCCTGCCCCAGGTGAGCCTGGCCAGCTGGTGGGCCGCATCATACAGCATGACCCGCTGCGGCGCTTTGACGGCTATCTCAACCAGGGTGCCAACAACAAGAAGATTGCCCAGGATGTCTTCAACAAGGGGGACCAGGCCTACCTCACCGGTGCGTGGGCACTCTCCTCAGCCCTCCATGGCCCTGTTAGAGGGTGGGGGGTGGAAGGATGTGAAGGGGCCTCCCCGCACCTTCAGAGAACCTCTCCAGGGCTCCCCAGCCCCAGCCCCAGCAGCTGAGCAAACCCTCGGCAGGCGGCAAGGACTGCCTGGCCCAGGCGCTACCTCACTTGACCCCTCCCAGGTGATGTGCTGGTGATGGACGAGCTGGGCTACCTGTACTTCCGAGACCGCACCGGGGACACGTTCCGCTGGAAAGGCGAGAACGTGTCCACCACAGAGGTGGAGGGCACACTTAGCCGCCTGCTGAACATGGCCGATGTGGCAGTGTATGGCGTTGAGGTGCCAGGTACGGCCCTGTGGAGATGCCTGGTGCGTGTGGGGAGATGCCACCAGGGGGCACTGCTGGCCGCTGACTGTTCACTGCCCTCAGGAACCGAGGGCCGAGCTGGAATGGCCGCGGTGGCCAACCCCACGGGCGACTGTGACCTGGAGCGCTTTGCACAGCTTCTGGAAAAGGAGCTTCCCCTCTACGCCCGGCCCATCTTCCTGCGCTTCATGCCTGAGCTCCACAAAACAGGTCTGTCCCTCCCCCGCTCCACCTCGCAGGTTCCAGGCCCAGCCCCTTCCCAGGCCCTTCTGGAGAGACTGGGTGGCTGTCACCGGACCTTGACCCAAAGCCTAGCCAGGTAGTTGATGAACTGACCTCCCTGTGTACAGGTGAGCAGATTGAGCCCTCGGAGAGAAGGTTCATTCGTTCATTGATGGAGCAAATGTTAACTGCGTACCTACCATGTGCCGGGCACTGTGCTAGGCCCTGGGAGTATAGATAGCGGTTTTTGCTCGGACCTGAGGCAGCCTCAGGACAGGAATTCCAAGGTAAAGAATAGAATACAGGCCAGGCTGACAGAAAAGAGAAGGAAGTGGGGTTCAGAGGACAAGGGCGCTTCCCGCGGAGCCGACGTCGAAGCTGAGACCTGAAGGAGGCGGAGAAAGTTATGCGTGTGGGAGGCATTCTGAGCTCTGGGAACAGCAAGCGTGAAGTCCGAGACAGGATGGCCTGTGGACGCTAGAGGAGTGGAAGGAGGCCCCCAGCGCCGGAGGGGTGGGCCGCGGCATGAGGCAGGGGAGAGGCTAGCAGGAGCCAGGAGCCCAGAGCCTTTTGCACTGGAGTGGGGGCAGTAGGGAGCCACAGAACTGTTTGAGCAGGGCAGTGACCTGGTCAGATTCACGTCCTGCAAAGCCCTCTGGCTGCTGTGGTGAGTAGGGAGAGGGCTGTGGGCAGTGAGGTCAGGGTGGGGAAGCAAGTAAGTGGTTGTCACTCAGGGGAGAGATGAGTGGGGATCTGCTATCACACGGTGGGGTGGTGCCGGGGGAGGGGGGAGCCAGCCCATGCCCAGACCCCCACCCTGCCCTCCTCAGCTCCTGCTGCCCCGCCCTGGCTCTCCCCGCTTCTCAGCCACTCCCTGGCTGCTCAGCCTCTGGCCTCACCTGCCTGGCCACCTCCCACGTGGTCATCCTGTCAGCCCTGCCTTGACACTATTAAGGAAAAAAACACTGCTACTTAACACTATTCCCGAGATGTTAAAATCTGAAAATGTGCATCTTAGAGTCCATAGAATATAGACAAACACTCGGGGGCCAGTGAGCAGAGTCAGTGCCATCACACCCATACCTTGGAGGTGCTCAGATAAAAGGAGCCTTCACAGGAGACCCCCAGTTCTGCTCCTCCCTCAGTGTGGCCTTGGACAAATAGCTTCCCTTCTTCAGGTTTCAGTTTCCTCTTTTGTAAAAACAGGGTGGATCAGGACACCCCAGGGCTGCTCTGAGAAGCCGTACATAACAAAATGGACAGAGCCGCCTTTGCAAACTGTAAAGGGGTTGCCCTCCCACATGCACCCTTTCCTATGTCTCTCTGGTCCTCCTCTGCCCATCTTCAGCTCTGCTGGGTGGGTTCCTGGGAGCTCAGCCCTTGCCCTGCACCCTCTGACTCCCCTTCCTCCTTCCTCCGCTCCCCCAGGGACGTACAAGTTACAGAAGACAGAGCTGCGGAAGGAGGGCTTTGACCCTGCGGCTGTGAGAGACCCGCTGTTCTACCTGGATGCCCGCAAGGGCCGCTACATCCCGCTGGACCGAGAGGCCTACACCCGCATCCAGGCCGGCGAGGAGAAGTTGTGATTCACTCCGAGTCCCTCTCAGGGCCAGTGGATGCTGCATCCAGAACCCCAGCTCCTAACCCGGAGGGGTCCTGGGCAATGCCAGACCAAAGCAAGCAGGGCCGGCACCTCGACTGTGAAGTGCTGACCCCTCCCCCTTCAAACTGCCAAGTGACTCACTGCCGCCAGCTGCCCCCGCCCCCAGCGGCTTTCTGTGAAAGCCTCATGTCCACAGACGGCTTCAAGGCCAGGCAGGCAGGGCCCAGGCCAAGACTGACTGGGCCTCTCAGGATGATGTCTTGGGTCAGGCCAGGGGGAGATGAGCGTCGCCAAGCATTCCTCAGCAAGCCAGGGGGTTTGTAAATGGGACCAGGGCATTACCCCCTAGACTCAGGAAGCCAGCAGAGCGGGCAGGGGCAGAAGTGGCCGTGGACCAACTGGTCGAAGAGGACCCTGCCCCGGAGCTGCTCTAGTGTGTTCACCTCTGCCCAAGCCTCTAGGAGGACGGGACAGGGACCCGACCTGCAGCAGGCCGCCCGACTGAGCATCCCCACTCTCTCCCGCCCTCCCCCTCGGTGGCTGCCTGGCTGTCCCTCAGTCAGGGCCTTTCTGTCTTTGTGGGTCTATCCATATCACCTTTTCCATCTCAGTCCTGAACATGGCTTTGAGAGGAGGGTGGGGGCACTCAGGGGCCAATAAACTCTGCCTTGACTCCCCCCAGCCCGTGTGCATGCTGCTGAGCTCGCCTGCTGGGGCCCCACCTCCTGCCCCTCTGACCCCTTCACTCACTGACCCATCTGTTCACTCGCTTGGACCTAGGGCAGGTCAGATGCCCCAGCCCCACACTTTAGTTCCCACCTGAGTCTTGGACAAATGACTCGGTCTTATCCAAGTGAGATGGAAATAATCGGGAGGATTCGGAGAGCCGAGGGTGGCCCTTACGAGGAAAGGCCCTAACCCGGGCAGGGTCCCGCCTCCGGTCCCCAGCTCTTCTGCTCCCTGTGCCTGGGGTGCATTTCCCTGGGGGTTTGCAGGCTGGGCCGAGGCAGAGCAGGGTTGACCCAGGGCTGGGAACCTGCGGCCTGGGGAGATCAGGGTTGGCCCAGGGCCCCTGGTCTTTATCTTCACTAACCGTCACCACTGTGTGTGTCACTTGGCCGAGGTCACCCTGCAAGGAGTAGGGGCTGGAATGCAAACCCCAGCCCGGGGGCCCTTCCAACGCTGCTCCACCCATTTCCTGGTGCGGAAAGGGGGGGAGCCCGGCGGCTCCCATTCCACGGATGCCTGGGGAGCCGACTATGCCACACCCAGGCCGGCGGCCCACAGCGCAGGTGGAGGGTGGCCTCCTGGGGACGTGACCTTTGAGAAGGGAGCCTGGTGCTTCTCTTGGGGGCCAGCGGGGCGGGGTGGGGGTGAGGTCGGCTGGCCCTTGGGAAGGGGTGCTGAGCGGGGTTGGGGGGACTGGCAGG